GTGATTTGTGGCATCTCGTGGTGTACGTAGAGTGTGTGCCGCTCTTGTTTGTGGCGTTACGATACACTCGGGAGTAGGATTCGTGGCCTACAACGCACCCTGTTGCTTTCCGAATTAATTTTGTATTTTCCAACCAACTTCCATAACCGTTAGTTGGGATAACTACAGACCCTCTAGAACGGACTCGTGGGACATATGTTGTACACAATAAATTGGTGGTATGGAGTCTACACAGAATCCTTTAATCTCTCCGTACATGTTTCCAACTGAACCTGGCAAGTGAGTTTTGCCAAGGTGTTTGTTCACTCTTCCCACCCGTCAGGTAGAGTCATTTGAAGATAACCATTTTAATAATCTATTTGGTAATGGTAATTCACCCACGTAACAGGATTAACAAATTGTGCGGATTTCAACTGTATTTTTAATTAACACCTTTTCATCCATCTAAATAAAACCGATGCAGACCAACAGCACAATAAATAAGTAAATAGACAGTGAAGTTGGGTCTTCCTTATTTTACTCACCACTGTTGCTTTATCGGGATGATTGCAAACTCTATAGTTCCATTTGTCAAAGGTCATCCTAGCATGCGTCTGACGTAGAATCGGTTGTCTTTCAACTCACCTGGGATGTGACTATCCGTCAAATTTTTACTCATTTAATTCCTCGAATGGTTTTGCCTTTTCATCAAATATCCGGTGGTCCAATTTAAGTGTCACCATTTTTTAAAAAAACAATAAATATTGGTCACTTTTTCCAAACCAAATGAATTCGCCGTTACTCCTTCTAAACAGCCGGATATTTCCTCCAATGAAGCACAATGGCAGGGCGTGTGCTTGACTGTCCATTTAAAAGCCTTGGCCGCATTGTCAGGTGACATGTTTTGCGCAACTGTTTCAAGGCCGTCAACCAAATCCGAAACCCTCGTTAATCTGATGTTGTGTGTCAGGCTAATTGTTCTGCAAAGTACACCTACCCTATGTTGTATATCATGCGGGAAGTCAAATGATAAGTTAAGAACATTTATTGCGCAGCTCCAAAGATTTGCTTGTTTTCCTTGAGCGTTAGTTCGGTTAAGCTAGCGGCAATCCTTTAGCACTAACCATAGTTCAGGGAGGGAATTTGCTGTGGTGCATCAGAAAAATTGTATTCCTTAAACTTAAAGCGACTTAAGGCATTGCAAAGAATAAAAGTTGTAATCAGTCTGAGTTTCAGTCTTCAAGCTAAGTGATTGCTGGCGCACTTCTTCTCACTTGCATTATCCCTTCACTTTTTTCACTCATCGAACCTACTGGACACAGCAGTTTCCCACTTTGCAGGGCGATATTTTAGCAGAAGTAAATCGTGTGTTTGCTCAACTGCCCACTTGTGTGAGTTCTGCTCATTTTTGACCCCCTACTTACGTCACAGAGGTAAACTCTCAGACCTTTCCAGGCCTCACACACGTTTCTCTGTTTGGCATATCAGATTAGCGCAAAATCTATATTCGCCTTCAAGATTTTCGTTTGAACAAGCCTTGACTATGAAAATAGTCATTCCTGAAAATGGCGCCTTTACAAATAATTTCAAATAAATTAAACTGCTATCAAAAACTTAGAAAAACCAAATTTCGGTGCAAATATCTTAAGCATCTATAATACTAAATGTACCTTGCACTTGCTCAACTCGGAATGAAGTGCATTTAAATATAAGGTAGTATGGATTCAGGTAAAGTGAATCGTCTTCACGCCCAGAGAAATTAACGGCGAATTAGGTTAAGCAACAACTCTACATGGGTGTCTCAGTGGATGTTTACCACTACTTGTAAGGACAAAGAGCTACTTCGATTTCCAGCCAAAAACACTTTAACTTCATCTTTGTCCCGCTTTTTACGCTAACTTCTTCTTGAATTGCCACAAAACGACTCTCACTGTCAGATCTCACTTACGAAGTCACCTACTTAACAAAGTAGATGAAGAATGAATGTTCCTAGTAGAACTATCTGAGGGCCTTTCGAGAAAATACACAACTAAAATAAATAATGCGAAAATTATGCGACCGCTATGAGTTCGAATGAAATTTGCTAACATATCTGTGCAGAAAATTAGCTAGGCAAGGTGCTACTACTACTGGTATGACAATTAAAATTACCCCACCGCAGGGTTTCCATAATTGAATACAAGCTTAACCCATTAGAGCTCCTGACGCAGTTGAGACCAAAGGGAGTAATTAATAAAACTCACGAGTTATCGTTTTTTTGATTTTCTTGAAAAGTTCAAACAACTCCGCCTTGCATACAAAAAAAAGGGGTTTCAAAACTGTACCTGCAATTACCAGTATGTATCGGGACGGTGCAATTGTCGTCTGATAATTTTTTTTTCATACCCAAATATGAGACTCTAAAAAGTGAGTGACACATGGTGTTGGGATGTTTTTTATTGTTTTCGCTCGACAACTTGATCTTTCTCCTAACTTATGTTCCCCCATATGTCCAATGGTTCAGTAGCTAATGTACTTGGTCATCGCTCCAAATACCAATAAAGCCAGTGTAACAATTTCATTCGCGTTGTAATTGAACAAATAGCAACTCGAGAAGGTAACTTAAGAGGCAAAATTGAAGTAAATGAATGGACACGCATTCCTGAAACATATAGTAAATTTAAGTTGCTACGTAAAGCCACGGTGGGCGGGTGAGTTTATCCTGCACTGACTGTAAAGGTTGAATTTTGACAAGTGTACTCACTGAAAACTTTTATCAGTGAAGAAAATGTACACTATGGAACCATCGATTCGTTGTTCTAAATACACATTTGAACTGCCAATATTATATTTGAAGCACTGAAGTTCACCCTGGTGACACTTAAATGCCGTTTCAGTCTGTTAATTTAAGAACGACTTAGCCCCATCTGCTGATCACGTTAAAGCCCTGCCACCGCGGAGAGAGACCTTTCGTACAAATAATTAAACTGTATGGAACCAACCTTTTGCAGTGAATGCTTCCTCATCTCATTAGCAAAAGCAGTCGTGGTCAAGTAACTTATCTATTCTCAACCGTACGAATTGGTAGACATTTATAGAAACCTTTGCTAACTTAGTATTATTAATGGAGTAAAAATTTCCAAAGAATGCGGTTTCGCTGATTCATTAAGAGAAAACAGCCTTTTTGTATTGGTATAAGGGCGATTCATGACTTCCATGACTAAATTTCAAACACCAATATATTGTTGTATTGTGCGGAAATTTACTTACTATGAAAGCAAAATGCAAATTGAATTAGGGGAATTATTACTTTTGCCGCCACTCCCTAAGCCCTTTTCATGCGGATTCACTTCAAGCACCATTCTTTTCTGTGAATGATTAGTAATTGTTGCCATTTGGTTCAAATTTCAATTGACTCCTTTTCTTAGGGCCAGTCGACCGTTGGTTTTTTAGCTCTATTATAAACAGTATTATTGTTATCATTATCTTTTAATAGGTCAATTTAGTTTTACGCACCCAATTAAAAATATTGTCTAAGATTAATGACATAAACATCAGCAGGTTTCAGGTTTTCCCACCATACTATTTAGCACCAGCCATTAAATGAGGCCAAATTATTATGAAAAAGTAACCTGGACCTAGCGTCAAGCCATTAGGCTTAAATCCACAAGGAGGGATTCAATAGGCCTGCTTAACACACCTTTTGACGCCATGTACTTTGTTTTCCTTGGTTTGCTCGTAGTCTCCGCAATAATATAATTTCTTTGCTTTATTAAGTAACTCAACTTATTAAATCCGGAATAAACCCAGATGTGGCAAATGAAGACGGACTAACAGCGCTTCATCAGGTAAAGTCTACGATTTTTTTCTACAATTCCATTTCTTTTTTTAACAGCCAGTACGGATAAAACACGGTGTGACAAAGCATATTACAAACACAAGTCGTGCTGTTAGCAAGCGGCCTAACACAGCGCTTCATTCCGGGCGAAGTATTAACCAACTTTCTAAATGTGTCAATAAAAACGACAAAGCCACCAGCCATGAATAGGCGCACAGACAAGCGAGAGTGTTGGCTTGGCGAATCAGCTTTTCACTTCTTCAGTTCATTTATGCGTGCATTTTTACGGTACTGATCTACAGCTCTGGCAAACACTCGTAAAGAAATTAAGTTGAAAGCAATATTTTTCACGTTTATTCAACATTTAAAGGAAGAATGTCGAATTTCTATCATTAAAAAAGGTTAGCACCCTTGAGCGATTCTCATCATTTATATCGAGGACCTCAATGTATGGGGTTTAGTTATGATAAATGGGCGTTACGTACAACACCTATAACAGACTGGCATTACTAGATATTCCTTCGAATGACCGATGGCGGCTTTTGGATTGGTTCTGCAGAATTCCTATGTGGCATGTCGTCTGATGAGTCATATTGTTCGATTATTTATCATTAGTGCGATTCATGTTGATCGCTTGCCTATACGAGAACACTAAGTTTGTCGTAATTTCAAGCGCCACGTTCGTGCATGGACGAATTTCATCGCTCCGACCTCTCGATTTATCATTTTTGGTCTTTCCAGTGCCGTGTTTGCTTTCTCTTACAGACTATGCATAATTTATGACGCATGTTCATCTGGAGGGTTTTTCAACCTGCCCCATATTTATGGCATTTTATGCAAATTATTTAGTATCTTATGGTTACACTTTACAGTGTGATAAAGACCACCAGATTGCTTAAAATACATAACAGAATCGACGAAGGCCAGGTGATGAGGCGCAAGGACCTTTGGTGAAGTGAAGAGCGATGGGGAGGAATGTAGTGCAAGAGTTAAGATTGGCAGTCCGCGTTAATCTGAGTCTACTCACTTTGCCACCGCTTTACTTCACGCTGGTCACTTTTAATTCGACTTCGTTGAGTTTTAAGAACGGGCCAATTACATGCTTGGCTACAGCTTAGTGCTCCCGCGATTCTCCTGTTTCTCTTTAAGGCCGTCTACAGCCAGGTGTTTCTTTTTTCAGTGCTGCATTGACAATAACTTGGAAATGTGCGCTCTGCTGCTGGAGAATGGAGCCAACGTGAACGCGATGGACAACGAAGATTGGACTCCACTTCACGCAGCTGCAACCTGCGGTAACAAGGAGCTTTGTGGGATGCTTATTAATTGGTAAGATTGTTTGTGATGCCTTAGTCTTGTCACCGTAGTAATTTCTATCAGGTGGCTCTGGTGAGGTTACAGTAATTCGTACCATTAACCCAACCAAATTTATATGCGAATTGTTTATCTTCAAAGTGCGCAGATTATCCTGTTTGGGTTTGGGGCCTGTAAATTTCGAGAAGACTAAGTATTGCTGAAGAGAAATCACTTTCACATCGAAAAGTAGCACTTTTATTTAAAAGCTTCACTAAAAAAGAAAAGTTGCGCATTTGTTAGCTGCAAACTCTTAAGACGGTTTTATCTTATTATCAAAAATTAGATTTTTCATCCCCTTTAAAAATTTCATTGTAATTTCCTCAACAAAATCTTGAAATAAACATCATTGGTTAAATGCTAAAAGGACACAGCAATTTAAAGATAAATGAGGGTTTTGGTTAGATGCTAAACTTTGTAGAAGTCGTCTAACCTAGTCTAATTCTTCAATTAATCTTGTGTTCAAAACGACTAGTTGAGCTTAATAATCATTCCTAGTGGTTTTTTCCCAAGTGCTCACACGCATCTATAACAGGCTACTCAATAAATCAGTGGGCTGACCCTGAAGTCGGAGCCTTCTCATTGGTACGCAGGCTGCATCCACTCAGATTTGTTCACCAACGTACCAATCAGCCGTCCGATTTGACGGGGAGGCTGATGCTGACTAATGTGTAATGAATATCACACTCGAAAACAGCAATGGATGTAAAAAAGTTTTTTTCATAGAATACTGAACTTTAACATCTAGTGAAACATTCGCTACATTAGAAATTACGACCGGATAATACATTGATTTGATTATAACTACCATTGTAAGTTTAAAAAAATAATTAAACGAAAACTCGTAGTGTTAAGTAAGTCGCTTTACCGCTAGCACTCTGAGTGGAATTTTCATAGTTTGCAGACATTTCGAAACCCGCGCTATTTTACAGTTGTAGGCTGCGTAAGGTTATCCACTGGCGCAACGGTTCGACTTTCTTACACCATTCAGTGATTTAGACCCAACCAAAATAATAATAATAATAATAACAATAATAACATGAATTCGAACAGCGATTTCATTTACAAAAAATTGCTGAAGTTAAATTTCACGTATTGCGATGATTGGCATGACCAAACTGTTAAATATTCCAAAAAAGGATTTTTTTGAACTAAACTCAGCATGACAAGGCTAATTGCTTTCCTCTTTACTCGGCTTATTCATTTATGAAGCGATGCCTCTAAAATCGGCAAGTAGACGACCACTTAAAATGGAATTTGATGCATTTCGAATATGGGCGATGATTAATGATTTCTCGGAGCTTTGTAAGCACACGGGCTTGAAAGTAGCAGAAAACTCGATGCAGGTTAGTGCATCACCTTTTTAAAAGTTTCAATTTTAAGCTTTTAGAAATCGCTGACAATTTGAGCAGCTCAATAACTTTTAAATGTTATCAATTATAGTTTTAATTCTAAATACAACAATGAACATGTTTTTTGGCAAACGGGCTCAAATGTCAGCATCTCGATTAAGGAATTGCAGGAACATCATGCTGATCACACTTTGTTAAATTCTGTCTTCGTAACCATACCTCCAAGTTAGAACATCATGCAATTTCCCTTGATTTGATGCAGCTCAATGATGTTTGGCTCGTTTGAGAAGCCCAAAAGCAAAGTGATTTGTATTGGCTCCAAATTGTCTTTGAAAGTTCATTGGGAATATCTCAAGTTATTCAATGCAATGTCTGCACTGCCTTGTCATTATTGATTTTACAATATTAAAATCATACCTATAATATTACGATTTTACAACGCTTAACCAGATTTTAAGTTCAAGGCACCTAAATCTAGGGACTAGGAAGAAACCTTACGTGACTTTTTGGTGTGCGGCTCCAAGACCAACGCATGGATAATTTGAAGGTGATGTTGTGAAATACCGGTGATTGCCACTTCGTAATTTTTGCACCGAAATGAATTATTAGGTGTATGACTTAATTTTTACAAGGTTTTCAGCGAATTTAATTAATTTGAAAAAATTATAAACTTAATCTTGTTGCGTTTGCGTCGAGTTTCCGTCTACTAGCGAGTGCGGTCCCGCATCTGCAAACTTTTGAGGCTGCTGTCTGGGGCACGGCTGGTCACCACTGCTGAAATATTGGCTCCAATAAGTACGCGTTTCATAAGACACAACATCGGCACTACGAAAAATACAATTGATCATCGTGCGTTAAGAGCTCTTTCCTTTGATAACATTCGTATAAAATGCAGTGCCGCCGAATGTGATGTTTACCGGTTGCCATTGCAAACTCTGCTATTCTGCGAGGTTATGTGACTCGCGTAGGCTTGTCGTTCGATGCTCTGAAACCTCAAATGACCGCGAAAATATAAGTTCTAGGAAAAATTTCGCAAAAATAAAGTCACACTCCTAATACGATACTCAGATAATCATTGAGAGACATATTTGCATTAGTATAAAGGCCTAGGTATTTCTTGTTGAACTGTTGTGACGTAATTTATGGTAGCGCCAAAGACAGCACCGGCTCAGCGTCAGCCAATGGCGTGTTTTGCTCCTTTCAGGAACGCAGATCTCCTCGCACTTAATGTGGACGGCAACATGCCGTACGACCTCTGTGACGATAACGACACCCTCATACTTTTGGAAACAGAAATGGCCAAAAGGCGTGAGTTATTCATATTTAAGTTGACAAAGTTGGCTTGCGCTAGCATTCTTGCTCAATAACTACCACTGATGTCTATGTGGACCACGTATAACTCCTCAAGCTGCACTCGAATAGAGAGCGAATAAGCAAATGAGAAAAACGGTCATTGCTCTGGGAGGGTTTGGGTTGTAGCAGGACAGTGGTCAGAAATGACGATCGGACTGAGTGAGACATTTCTTCACTGCGTGTCCTTTTAATGCCAATGAATCCTCAAGTTTGTATACTGTCATATCCTCGTAGTGTTGTTAGCCCACGTTGGGAGTTACACTTTGAGGTCGTTATCATTGGTTTTTTTTTCAATAGGAACCAGCTGTTTTTTGGCACCCTTGATTTTAATGTGAGTCTACTGCGAGGCGTTCATAGTCCTCTTTTTGCACTTGAATTATCATGCGCTTTCGTGGATTCGGTGGGTTGGCAACACCGAGAGTAGATTGCGAAAAACTGTGGCAGCCTAAATTCCCATGACAACTGTCGACACAGTCTTTTGATAAGACCACTGATTGCAGCTTTGGCCTAGCTGTGGATAATTTCCCGGAATAAGGCACATTATTCATCGTGTCTGGTGTACAAGGCGATTTCTCAAATTTACTATTAGCACTCAATTTGGACAAAGCTCTCGTGCAATTTATTAGGCAATTAAAGCATGTTTTCTTGTGACCTTTTATTTCACCAAAAGGTAATAAACCACACGAAGTTAAACCTCCGCAGTAGTTTACTAAAGAAGCGAATAGCTTTAAACAGCATGCCAAACCAGTGCAAATGCCGTGCCATTCCTTGGTTTTAAATATGACATCTCTCAGAAATCACCACTCAACTTGTCAGTAAAATTATTGTTGCGGGTTGTCTCTTAAAAAAATGCGAATAGTTTTATTCGTCCAGCTAAAATGTTTCCTAGGTTGCCTTGATTTAAAACCAAGCAAAGTGTTTCTCTAATCTTTCAGCTCCCTTACTGAAATATTGGCGAAATAAAGCCTTCAATCAAACAAACCATGATCACACCACATCCTGGGTACTTTTAAGATCAGTTCAGTCCTTTATTTTATCTGACCACACACTCTTCATACAGTCATATTATCAGGAAGCTGGCATTTTAAGTAGGACGTCTCTCTAATCCTCTCGGCAAAATTTTTCAACTTTTTCAGCGTTTGATGATTCCTAAGTTGTGCTTGCTATGGACTTCTAATAAATGTCGGGATGTAGCATGTTACAACGGATCCCGCATAACCCACCTCACTCTGCAAAATAAAGCATTGGACAATTTTTAGGAGTTGCTAACTTTGTATTCTGCAGCAATACTCGTGTGCTTTTCGCCCCTCGTCTTAAAGCCAGAACTAATAAATCCACAAGTGTAGGGAAATACTCCAGTGGATTTTATCAACACTTTTCCTGATCTATTCGTTTAAACACGCGCATTTTAGTTGCTGCAGAATGGCTTAGGCACCTAGAGGTAGCGACAAGTGTGGCCAGACGAAGCACACGGCTGGTGCACAGAAATTTAAGTCTTCACTGTAACTGCGACCAGGGTCCCTGTCGTGTTTTCGATCTCATTTTAGTCATGACCTCTACACTAAACTCAGATGGTATCCCTCACACAATCAGTTCAAGTATTTTCGACCTTCCAATTTATGTAGTGCCCCCCTTACCTTCTTGTATGTTGTGCTTCTTCTGTCGACTTAGAGATTATTTCGGTGGAATTTATCCTGTACGTTACCGACGTTTCACTACCTTAATACGTGACTACAAAATTCGAGTTAATGTACCTAGCGCTGGTTAAAGTGTGCCAATAATATTATAGTTATGTACATTTTTGTAGACGTGACCCAGGAACAGATAGACGAAATTCGTTTGCAACCAGAAAGGGATATGCTCGCTGACCTTAATCGACGTCTAGCCGCTGGGGACGATCTTCAGGCCCTCGACTCACAAGGAGCTGCACCGGTAAAACTTGCTTTTTTTCACTGTGAAAAAACTGTTATTTTTCTATCGCAAGCAGAAATCGTTTGTAGTTTTTTTCCTTTGCTGTGCTCACTGAAACTGACTAGGTAAGCAGAGATCGTGATCGACTTTTGGCAACTCTTTGCTGCGAAAGTTGACCAGATTAGACAGTGCGGAATTTATTGTGCTCCTCAGTTGACAAGTGAATCGAAGACATCTTATGCCTTGTTTTATTATCCGGTAGAGAGTTGTAAGGCTGTGGCAGAAAATTTCCTTCCCACCCACATCATGCGTGGACATGTGCTTAAGCAGCCGTGGCTCAATATCTAACTAGACACCAGCCCATGCGTTTGTACGAGGCTGTTTATAATAGGGACTACTGCAGAGAAGGGGAACACCGTGTTATCTTTCCAGCAAAGGGCGTGAACAAATTGAAGCGGCTGCATCGAACCACGTTATAATGCATTCCGGTAGCTTTCACTGAGGTGTTACCCGAAATGCATACTAGTCGAATTTTAGACATTCTGAAAGCCATTTTATGTGAGCACACCGGTGTCGATTGGCGAACAGCTAGTACAAAAATGCCAAAGACAAATAGGCTTTAATCTGGCTTGTCGGTTATGTGTTATGCTTTGTAATAAGAACAGCTAGGTTAAAAATTTCAAGGCGGTAGGTCAACTTAGGTACTGGTAAGCAGCCAACTGTATAAGCTATTCATCATTAGAATCTTCGTAGATTACAGGACTTTACTTAAATTTTAGTTGTGATTAGCTGAGCTTTGTGTCTTAATCTATTTATTTACACGACAGAATTGGTCAAATTTACTCGATACACAACACAGCGGAAGAAAACACCAAACGACGCATGAATTCCGTGTGGTTTTAATTAATTAACTGACTATAAAATTCATATGAATGATTGGATTTCGCAACTGGACTACTAGCATGAATTTGCAGCATTTTATAAGCCTGGCAATGTATTTTGTGGCACTGCATTGGACGCTATGATCTTTCTCTCCCAACAAAGGCCAAAGCAAGATTACTTTAAAACGTCAGAGACAGTTTCTGTGGGATCCTTTGAGCTGTAGTAAAGAGACTAACCATCCCAGTACATAATTTATCCCTCTTTTATGCCAGATCACGGTACAATTAGACAATAATGCGAACATTCAGATAGGCTGAAGAAGTCTCTATTGTTTTTTTTTTCAAATAAAAAGACAGAAATTAGACCCAAGCATATTCCCACCTTTCCAGTGAATCGGGTTCGCTTCTTTTGTTTGCCCAGCATTTCAGATTTTAATTTCAATTTTTGAAGTGATGTTGCGTCTTTGAAGTAAGTTAACACCAATTCTCCGCAAAAATTGTTGCAAATGCAAACAGTTTACAAATAGGAAATGTAAGTCACGAACTACCTTTCACTGCAAAATGGTAATTTCAATAAGGGCCTTTCAAAATTGGCATTTTTGAGTCTGTATACTAAACTTCAATAACTAGTTTCATTAATCAATGTCAATCCTTTACAGATACACATAGCCTGTTCTTGCGGTTTTGTGGATGTTGCTCGCTTTCTGCTTCAACACAGATTTGACCCAAATCTTCCCGACCAGGATGGATGGTTGCCGATCCACATTGCTGTTTCTTGGGGATACGTATGTTCGCTAATTTATGCCCATTTCTATCACACCCTAAGACTCTTCGCGGCTTTGAAGCTTTTCGTGGTTACGTGTGTTGACTAATTTAGCAGGTTCCTTACTTCACATTTTTCGCCGTAAATAGCATCCTAGCCTCACTACCGCATAGTTTCGATTTAAAAAGACACAAAGTGATTCTGGACAAATATTTTTTATTCAATATTGTGTGTGATTTATCAACCAGCACTTCATAATAATGTTGTCCTTTCTGAAATAAAAATTGAAACCATTTAATAAAAAAGACAGCCTCAATTTGTAGTGCTGGATATTCCTGCAGAGGGTGTCGGCACGATCAAATACATTTGTTGTTTGGTCTCGTGTGAAAATACCATAGATAGATTCCCTCATTTTGTTGCAACTTTTTCTAGTCTCACAATTTTAATTATTGCGCAAATGTGGTGCGTAAATGCGAGCTTTAGCTCGCTAATTTATGTAAATCCCAGGCACACAACTGGACATATCAAAGAATTTTTATTGTATTTTCCTACAAATAGTAAGTAGTGAATAAGAATCATAGCTAGTGAAAGAAATTAATTGAATATTTGTGTGATCACATTTGTTGAGCTGCCTGTTAGAGCTTAGGCGCAAAATAATTTTATTTATCCACGATTTTTCGGTGACCACTCATGGCGCCTTCTTGCACACCTGCTTGAAGCGTACCCCAAAATAACTTCGTTGACATTAAAGGAAAAATCGCAGACAGAAAGACTTAAAATAACATCTAGGCTTTTAAGCGAATGCCTCTTGACACTCAAAACTATTCAAAGCACGTTCTTAGTCTAAAACGATGGACCGACAATTGTGCTAAATAGCGAAAATTGACTAACCAGGTTAGTATTTGTTGAATTTTTTTTTAACAAAGATGCGGAAGAAATCGCCTTGGTGACAATTAAACCTTTATTTACAGTTTGGGGGCATTTTAGGTGTTCGGCTTGGCAAGTCTGATTTTTGTACTTTCAATTCACCTCGTATCCAACATGGGAAAGAATATTACCGTGTTGGGTAAATCTATCACAATAGTTTTGGCTAGAAGGCGTGTGAATAAAAGTGATTTTTATTAAAACCTGAGGACACATTTGAAGAATGACAACTATTAAAAGAACATTTACGATTAACGGTTCGCATATTAATTTGCATGAGAAGACAATTTACTTGCATGCTCACTTGTAGTTAGAAATAGTTCAACTGCTCGTCTCCTACGGAGCTGACATGGAGGCAACCACCAGAAGTGGCCAAACAGTTTATAGTGAGTTGCATTCTTGGCAATATTTAATTCAAAACCACTATTTTTTTTAATTATTCAAATGGAATGCGGAGTAAAACTTGATAAATACAACTAGAGTCCTTGTTGGTCTGTTCTACACATTCGCCTGAATTACTACATCTGAGTTAATCGAATAATGATTTCATCACCTTGATCATAATGAATGCCATTTACAATTTCAAAACCCATATGCAGATTGCGCTTGCTGACATTCATTGTCCTCTTTCCGCTATTTTGATGGAATCTAAACGATTCATTTTGAATTAGACGACCAAGGTGCCATTAATTTATACAACAGACATTCGACTCCGTTAGAGATTAGACTACCGAAAGAACTGTTAGCTGGAAGTGCATTCGTGTCCCAGATATCATAATTTGTGGTCCTTTGTTAAGGAAGGTTCAAAACTGTGGCCTAGATACCTGGCATTTTTCCTACCTTAAATTAGAACAATTTTTGTAATTTATTGATGTCAAAAAGTATAGGTTAACCTCGTCCCTAAACTTATCTCGCCGAAGCTCGTATGCCCACACGGCGTCCGAAGCTTGAGTTATCGATTCAAGCACCATCCTGTGTACGCGGAACCGTGAGGGTTCATTCAATTTCAGTGACACTTTTACCTGCAATTGGCATTTCACATTGATTTTGATACGAAACGCAATTACAGAACATGGTTCCCCAGCATTTGGCTGCAGAGCGGCAACGCATCGTGTCATGCTGTGCATGCTCTGAGTTCCGAGATCGATCGGGTGTGGGTGCCCCACTCTCCATCCAACTCATTTTGCCAAAAATAAAACCAATGCGTTGCGGTAGAAACTGCAATAGGGGTGGCTGCTAGACAATTGTCTCTGTTGCTATTCAAAGTGAAGAAACCACTCCAAAGGCGCGAAGCATCGTCTTTTGCCAAAACAACGCATAAAGAATCGTGAAGAGGCATGTTTCGTAACAATGCAATCCATAATGCAGTTGCGTACATAACGGCGAATTTGGTTGCAATTACACAAACCACATGGGGATTGGGTTTATTGACATCTAATATCCTGTATACTCAATTGTGATGTGATGTGAAAGTATAATGTGAAATGGACGGTCCAACAGCTTGTAATGGGCACAAGAGACACTTGGTGCTGCGCGAGTTTCGACTGTAACAACGTCAACATCGCCAAAAGCGCCATTATTTTGGAGAGCACTCGTGTCATTGACATCATAATGTAAGTGTGTGTGTGTGTGTTACCATGTGTGGTCTCGACCTCTACAATCCGCTCCCCTCCGACCAATCGAATTACGGATGGTGCACGAGTTACCACGGCAATCGAACGTTGGCTCAAACTGAAGCAGATTGCAGGCAAAACATTTGATGATTGACGGTGACGTTTGTTACAGACCTCGGCATGTAGCCTCAAACCACGACGGAGTCACTGCGTCGAAACCAGCTCTATTATGCTACCCTGATAGGCGTGAAGTTGAAGAAGACCAGAGCGTTCTAGGCAGAACCGTTTACCAGATGGATCAACCAAGTTATGTGTGTGCGTGGGTGCGTGCGTGCGTGTCAAAGTCGTGCATGTCTGATACAGTTCAGGTGAGCTGGTGGTCATTTGGACAAAGCGGGCAGTGGTGTTACATGCACAGAGGTGAAAGTGTAGACGGTCTCGCATGCTGAAGAGCACGCCGTGAAAGGGGCACGTGGGTCCGAGACTGCGACGACCAGGTTAGTGAACGTGAATGAACACGATTCACTGCAAGTTTACGGCGTGCTGACCTGTGGCGTAATGGTTCTCGAAAAATAGCATTGGAGAAGGTGTAAATGGAGGAAATGTGGGTTGCCCACCGACGTTTTGTTGAGAAAACGAGTCTGCGTGTCACTCCTTACTGTGCGTGTTTGTGCACATTTGCAAATATTTTAACGTGTTGGTAATAATCTCCATGGATTTCTGTTTTTTCTGATTTTCGTATTGGTCCACAAAGCGGCTGGGCTATTCTAACCCTCGCCTTTAGAAGTGAATGTGTTTTGGATAAAATGCCATGATACGAGAAGTTGACACGTCCATTTTTTAAACTTATCTAGCATGGCCAAAATATAAGGCAAAATGTCAAGGGCAGTATGCTTATAGCGTCCGGTAAGCGACGCTATGGTCACTGATTAAGGTCCCAGCTCTCCAGTGAGTCAGATTTATTCAAGCTGATATATATCGAAATGGGTCATGTGTCGTGAGTATCGCCAACACGATCAAGTCCTCGCCACCAGGCTGAAAAAAGCACGCTTCCCTACCCGCGTCTGCATGAGTCTTACGTTGAAAAAAAGCCACATTTAAACACCTTCAGACTTAAGTCAGTCAGAATCACATCCATATACCCGCAAATCATTACACTCTTCCCCAGCTGGGCTGACGTGCCCTCATGGCGAGCAGGAGAGAATAGACTAGTGAAAGTTAATGCTCTGGGAATTGTCAAAAGATGAACTGTTCCCTCTTCGGTTATTCAATGATACCAAAAAATGAAGAAAACTTACTACTCAGTCGATTTGTACGACCATCAAACCCGATGGCTTGATTGCGTCAACAAAACGATAAATGTAGGGGGAATTGGCCCTTGTCATGGTCTACTAACGCCTTGCTTGTTTCAGGTCGAACTACTTGAGTGCGGTTGAAAAACATCGACTTTTTTAAGTATCTAAGGTTATACCCACCATATACTATTTGCTACATTATCAGTGGTTGCCATGTAAAAAAAGGTAATTGTTTTCATCATCAGGGGAAACCAGACAGATTTGGGATGGCGCTATTCATGGACTTCAAATTGTATAACGAATGGGGCACAACAGCGCGCAAGGTCACGCGGCGCAAGTGCAGGAAAGCCTGCGAGCACAAGCGCAGTTTATAATGAGTTATGCTAATATGCGTGTGTGCGCGCATCAAGATGATGCGCGCACACACGCAACAGGAAAAAAAGTCGATAAAGGGAACGGATCGTTTGGCATTTCTGCGGCGTGCGCGTTTGTGCATGTGCGCATTCAAGTGTAGTAGTCGTCGGCGTCGTCATCGTCAAACAAGAGCACACGAGCAAGTGGATTATTTTACTACTATTCGGTGGAGTGCTTTCTCGGTGTTCGCAAACACCCCCGATTTTACGAGACACGACGGGCTCGTAAACTCGTTTTTTTAAGGATAATATTTAACTGTTAGCATAAAATCCAATGTAGTTGTTGGAACAGGATCGATGCGTAGGAATAAGTTACATGCAGCAGCCTGTCAAATACACAGCCTGTGCAAGTCCTTTTCACAAAAGCACACACACCATTGCAATTCAATTTCCACACACAAATTGTCCAGGGAGCTCACATTGCAAAGAATTAGGCCGCTCCATAACCACGAAGATGTTTTACTGACTTATTTGAAAATATAGTTGGTACCATTTAAAAGACGTGGCCTTAAATAAGGACCGACGTGAACGAAACGCCATTTAAGTCATTTTATCAAACGAGCTACGTCCGCACATCAAATCGCAGTTTACGTTTTCTTGCCTAAAATTATTGGCCACCAGCAACGAATTGTGCGATCTCTCAAGGGCTGTGACAAGAGACGCAAACAATAAGACTAGGTTCCCGAAAATCAAAGCTAATGATAACGAATACCGACTTTCAAAAGCTTTAATAGCGTTTGGATTCAGATTAAATGAATGGAATACGAAAAAAATTATCAACAAGCTCGGTAGTCTAAATAAATGTGCTAAAAATGGTCCGAGTTTGACGTTGACAAACCAATGGCTAAACTGACCGGCCTTAAA